CTATATCAGAAATCTGTCGAATAAAACTTTATTACATATTTTAAATTGCGTATCGAGCCAGCAAAAGTGAACTGACAAAAAAGCTCACGGCCTTAAAAGCAAGTGAATAGCAGAACCATTTTCAATATGAACCAAGAGTGATGTAAAAAGTTTTTGATATTGTCCAGTGGCTAAATAAAAGAAATATAGCGTTTTTTTATCAAATAAATGTTGTTGCTTTTTTGGCAGTATGGAAGAGCATAAAAAAACAGTCACTTTATTCTACGTTTTATTGGGATATCTGTCAAATTTCTATTATTGCTTTCGTTGATGCAACTTTTTAAAAGCTGTACATTATTTATAAGAATAGTACGTGTGTGCTACACGGCCTTCTCTATATCTAGCATAATTGTTTGTCATTGTACACACTTGCTGATTGTATGTGCGTGTGCGAGTGTACTTAACAATTTGTGAGTTTCATATCTTTCGTATGGTGATATAAAGCAATATATTATAGACAGGTTACGCATTAGCAATTATCTTTCTCCAAAAGAAATCCTACCTAAATTACTGATAGAAAACGAAAAAAAAAAATAATAATCTCAGAACGAATCAAAACCTTTGTCAGGATTGCCTCACACAATACACTGTAAGGATGTCATTTCATTCAAACCATAAGTTGTTTTTTTATACCTCTCTATGATGGAATTGGCGATTATCTTTATAGCTTCAATATCATCGACGTTTTCGTTCCTGTTGAGCGTAATATTAACGGTCGTATATTCGCAATCATTCTGAAATATACCAAGACAATAGACATTATTCAATTCACACATACATAGACAACACATTAAATTAAGTTACTGCAGCTCATATACTATCCAGGACAAAAACTAACAGAAATATTCACAAACATGTAGTCACAAAAAAAAATCATCCTTCAAAGACATACAGAAAAAAATATTGCCAATAAAGAGATATTGGATGCTAATTCGCTAATCAAAATTTAAAGTCTTATAGTTGGATGAAGATAAGATGATGATGAACTATTTTGATTTCTTGTTTTATGCTAAATATGACCCAAGAACTATTCTTCCCAACTATCATAACAAATTTACAAATGAATGCATCATGTATACAGACAACCATGTATACTACATGTACATACTATATATACTAATTTACAAACATACATTACTACTTTATCATCATTATTATCATTATTATTACTATTATCACGATTACTAATAATGATGATACTGTTATCGTTGTCATTATCATTACTCTCAATAATATCATTCTTATTATTATCATTATCATTGGTAGTTGTGGTAGTGGTAGTATCGGTAATAATAGTAGTATCATTATAATTATTATTGCAATTCTTATAATTATTGTTGTTGTTACTGTTGTTAGCTTTACTAAAATCATTATCCTTTTTATCATTATTACTGTTACTATTATCATTGTCATTGTTAATATTATTATTACTATTATAGTTATTATCATTATTATTATTATTATTATTATTACTGTTAGTATTATCATTGTTACCATTATTATTATTATCACTAAAATTACTATTATCATTGTCATCATCATTATCATTATCATTATTGTAATCATTATCCTTGCCATAATTATTGTCACTATCATTATCATTATCATTATCTTAATATTGTTATCATTACCTTCATCATCACCATCATCCTCATTATCATTATCACTATTACCATTATTATTACTTTAATTATCATCATTATCATGATTATCATTACCACAATTGCCATTATAATTATCATTATTATTATCCTCATTATCACTAGTATCATCAGCTTTATCATTACTAATACTGCCATCTTAATTGTTATTGCTATTACCATTTTTATGATCATTAGTACTCCAGTTATTTTAACTTTTATTATTAACATCAGCATCAACATCAATACTAATATCAACACTAACATCAAAACTAACATCAACATTAACATTTATCATTTAAACTTTAACACTAACATGAATATAAACATTAATATTATATCAACATTAACATTGATTTTAATATGAGCATCAACATCAATATCAGCAGCAGCAACGTCTTTAGCATCAACATTATGATAATTAATATCACCATCATCAACTTCAATATCAACATCAACATCATCATCATCATCATTATCATCATCATCATTATCATCATCATTATCATCAACATCATCAACACCAACATCAGCATCAAGATTATCATTAACATCATCATTATCATCATCATCATTATCATCATCATTATCATCAACATCATCAACACCAACATCAGCATCAAGATCATCATCAACATCATCATTATCATCATCGTCATCATCATTATCACCATCATCAACATCATCATCAACACCAACATCAGCATCAAGATCATCATCAACATCATCATTATCATCATCGTCATCATCATTATCACCATCATCTTCAACATCATCATCATCATCATCATCATCATCATCATCAACATCATCATCAACACCAACATCAGCATCAAGATCATCATCAACATCATCATTATCATCATCGTCATCATCATTATCACCATCATCTTCAACATCATAATCATCATCAACATCACCAACATCATCATCAACATCACCAACATCAACACCATTATACCATAAGCATCGCTTTCGTTGTCATTATTATCATTATTATTCCTTGAATTTTCAAACACCAAGCAACGCAATAGATAGAATTTCCATCTGATATTGCATGCAATTTAAATTACTCAGCTCTTCCATACAAGAAGGAAATATTATATCTCGCTCTCAGCTCATTCAAACATATAAGTTTTGAATTTTGAAAATGGCTACCATCAAGTGATATATAAATATTTATTCTTTATTCCAAATATTTTTTTTTCACAGCTCGAATAAGCACGAGAGGGAGTTTTTTTCATAATAATAATAATGAGTGTGATAATAATTATTGTGTGTGAGCGTGATGGTGTGGGTGTAGGCGTGTGAGTGTGTGAGTGTATGTGTGTGTGTGTGTGTTGTGTGTGTGTGTGTGTGTGTGTGTGTGTGTGTGTGTGTGTGTGTGTGTGTGTGTGTGTGCATAAGTGTGTGTGTGCATGAGTGTGCGTGTGAGTGTGAGTGTGTGAGTGTGTGTGTGTGTGTGTGTGTGTCTGTGCCTGTGTGTGTCTGTGTCTGTGTGTGTGTCTGTATGTGTGTAAATGTGTGAGTGTGGCAGTGTTTGTATGTTTGTATGTTTATTTACATATATCTACACACTCCTAAACGCAATAGACACCAGAAATAAATGCAAAGGTATCCCACACTTCAACGAACACTCCCAAACACTGCTAGCATACGCAATTCCACATAAAAAAAAAACGAGGTAAAAATATATATTTAATTACATATGCTCTTACAAATGACATTTCAGAAAGCCGTTGGAAAAAATATCAATTAACATGTAAATTTGATGTTTTATTCATGTGGCAAGAGCTAAAAGTAACTTTCAGAAGAGCTGGTTGACTCCACGAGTAGAGAGTGCGAGGTTAAACAAAAGTGCATAGGAATTATGAATGGTTGCCCAAGTGTCAGGAAAATGAATGAAATGTGGATAAGTGAAAGAAAATAGATGAGTTGAAGGAGTTGTGAAAGCAATGACATACGAAAATAAATATGAGTAATGAAATAAAACGAAAATTAATGGAAATATGAATCATCGAGCAAAGACTCATTATAATAAAGTGAGAGAAAAAAGGTTAAATGAGTAATTCAGAATTTAGTGAAAAACAAAAACACAATCATTACTCCAAAACGTGTCTTTAACGAGTTTAATACATTTGCCAAAATATTTACGACGTAAGGACAAGAACAGGAGAGGAAACATATCTAGACAAATTCGCTATCTTAAACTTCATTCATCTTTTCACGCTTAAAAAAAAAAAAAAAAAAAAAAAAAAAAAAAAAGTCTGTCGCTACGAGATCGTTCATAAGTTTTCCTAACTTTGAAGTACCTATCAACTTAGATAGTATCTCGTCGCCGAAGTTAAAAAAAAAAAAGAAAAACAAAACTCTCTAGCAAAAGATTGGTTTCGTGAGTCAGGAATTCATGAATCCTCATGACTTCTTAACTTCGGATATAATTGCTTCTTCTAAGTACATCACCTTCCCCACCAATGAAGATAGTCACATTTCCATTAACAAAGATTAAAAGGGAGCAACATACGATACTTCTTTCCGCAACTTAGGGTCCCTTAAGTGCCATAAGATGCCAACGAATGCACTTTACTGACTTCTTGGCTTTTGCCGGGTAGACGAAAGCCCCGGGGTGCTGTTCGGCCCAAGCGACCCCGAATCTCCACGGCCACCGAGGGATTGCTTCGTTAGTATCTTGGTAAGTGTACTGGAATGGATGGGTCTGGGTGTGGCTGTGGGTCTGGTGTGGCTGTGGGTCTGGGTGTGGCTGTGGGTCTGGTGTGGCTGTGGGTCTGGTGTGGCTGTGGGTCTGGTGTGGCTGTGGGTCTGGTGTGGCTGTGGGTCTGGTGTGGCTGTGGGTCTGGGTGTGGCTGTGGGTCTGGTGTGGCTGTGGGTCTGGTGTGGCTGTGGGTCTGGGTGTGGCTGTGATATATATATATATATATATATATATATATAATGCACACACACACACACACATATATATATATATATATATAATGTATATTTGCATATATATATATATACATATATATATATATATATATATATATATATATATAATGTATATTTGCATATATATATATATATATATATATATATAATGTATATTTGCATATATATATATATATATACATATATATATATATATATATATATATATATAATGTAAATATATATATATATATATATATATATATATAATGTATATTTGCATATATATATATATACATATATATATATATATATATATAATGTAAATATATATATATATATATATATATATAATGTAAATATATATATATATATATATATACAATATATATATATATGGGTGTGGCTGTGGGTCTGGATGTGGCAGTGGGTCTAGGTGTGGCTGTGGGTAATGGAGAAGGGAAGGCAATGATGAAACGAATGGATGAATACAACACCCTTAGAAATTTCAAACCTAATATGTGTGTGTGTATGTGTGTGCATTTGTGTGTGTGTGTATATATGTGTATATAGAGATAGATAGATAAATAGATAGATAGATAGATAGATAATGTATATATATATATATAATATATATATATATATATAATGTATATTTGCATATATATGTATATATATATATATATATATATAATGTATATTTGCATATATATGTATATATATATATATATATATATATATATATATATTGTTATGGCACATATGAAGTCTAGGGTATTATCGGGTGACCATATCAAGTTCAAACTTTTGTCTGGGTAAAATGTAAACACATGGATGAACAAAATAACTATATTTACTATTTCTTTTATGTACATTTAAAATACATTATATATAGATGAGAAAAAACAAACACAATCCTAACCTAAACATCCTAATATATGTAAAACACAATATAATATACTTAGCCGAGAGTGACCACAGGCAGAGACACGCAAAACTCGAGCTGAACAATATGGCGGAGTGGCTGAGTAAAAGCCAGGTGGCGGTGCGATCCGAGTCAGCCAAGGAGTGAGCTCGAGTCAGCCACCTGAACCAAGGTCGGTTCGGATTCCGAAACCTTTTACTAGGTGCATGTTTAAACACTCTGCCGTGTCATCTCAACACCTAATAGACTTTAATTATATAAAGAATACCGAAATGAAAATGTATATACCAACGAGTAACATTCAAATAAACTTATTAATGCCACTAATTAGTCCATCTATAACACCTCCACCTTTAAAGGAAATTTATTGGTAAATTTCAACTTGGTTCACTATAGTCTCGAAAGGCTATCAGCTAAGACGTTATCTTTCCCCTTTATATGTTTTATTTCTAGATGGAATTGCTGTATCATTAAAGACCATCTCATTAACCTTTGATTTCGGTTTTTCATTTTATCTAAGAACTTCAAAGGGTTATGATCACTATAAACAGTTACTGGATGTGTCGCACTATTCAAGTAAACTTGAAACTTTTCTAGCACCATTAACAATGAGAGAAGTTCTTTTTCAATAGTCGAATAACTTTTCTGGTGTTTTTTAAACTTGCACGAATAGTAACAGACAGGCATAAGTACATCGTCGGGCCCAGCCTGTAGTAACATAGCTCCCGCTCCACTGTCACTCGCGTCGATGTGCAGGCAGAATGGTTTTTCAAAATCAGGAGACGTCAGAACTGGAGGAGACGTAAGCATGGCTCGTATTTTCTCAAAGGATTCTTGACATTCTGACGTCCAAGTAAATTGCTTCTTAGGGCTAATTAAGTCTGTTAGAGGGGCAGATACGTGAGCGAAATTCGGACAGAACCTCCTGTAGTAACCAGCCATTCCAAGAAAGCGTTGCAGAGACTTGCGGTCTGTCGGAGTCGGATACTGTAAGATCGCCTCAACTTTGGCAGTGACGGGTGCCACTGTGCCTCCCCCAACCACGTGACCCAGGAAAATGACCTTGGCATGCCCGAACTCGCTCTTCGCCAGGTTAATTGTCAGCTCAGCCTCAGCGAGCCGTGCGAGTAAAGCTCGAAGTCGCTCAAGGTGTTCTTCCCAAGTATCCGACGTGATGACGAGGTCGTCCAGGTATGCTTGAACACCTTCCAAGTCTCGAATGACACCATTAATCAACCTCTGAAAAGTTGCTGGGGCGTTCCTCAACCCAAACGGCATGACCTTGTATTCGAAGAGACCGTCGGGGGTGACAAAAGCTGCTATTCTTCTCGCGTTCTCCGTCAGCTCCACCTGGTAGTATCCCTTCAGCAAGTCGATTTTTGTTACGAACTGAGCTCTGCCGATACCATCGATGACATCATCCAAGCGCGGTAGAGGAAAGGAATCAGAGCGAGTCACTTTGTTGATTTTACGGTAGTCCGTGCAGAGACGCAATCCACCATCGGCTTTGGGGACGAGCAGGCAAGGCGAAGCCCACTCGCTGTCGCTCGACTCCGCAAGTCCGTTGGCAAGGAGGAAGTCCACCTCCTCCCGAAGCTTCTTTCGCTTCTCGGGGCTCAGCCGATAGTGAGACTGCTTTATGGGTGCAGAGTTCTCGATCAGTACTATATCGTGTTGCACACCTCTGCAGGGTCTCGGGACATCACTACACACACACCGGAATTCCTTCAAGAGAAGTACCAACTCTTCAGATTGACGAGATGACAGATGCTGTAATTTTGAGTTAAGATTAGTCAAAATGTCACTGTTGTTTAGTTTTACTGGGTCATCTATACAAAACTCTTCTGTTTCTGAGATTACAGCTAACACTTTATGCTCTACCATTGCTTCTCTATTGTGATAAGGCTTAATTAGATTTACATGAACTAAACGTTCCTGCCTTCTACGGTCTGGGGTCTCTATAACGTAATTTACATCACCTTTTCTTTCTTTAATGCGATAGGGACCAAAATACTTAGACTGTAAAGCATTTTTCGGAAGAGGGAGAAACAGTAACACTAACTGTCCTGGCTCAAATTCTCTTTTTTCAACCTTCTTGTCATATTGTTCTTTCATGACGCCTTGGGCATTCAACAAATTTTTCATGGCAAAATCACGAACATGCAGTAGTCTCTCTTTAAAAGTATGAACATATTTTAATAATGGCATCACATGTTCCTCTGATACCCAACTCTCTTTTAATAGCTTTAAGGGACCTCGAACTTCATGGCCATACACCAATTCAAATGGAGAAAACCCGAGAGACTCTTGTTTGCTTTCCCTGATAGCAAACAGTAACACATGAACACCTTCATCCCAGTCTTTCTCCACCTCTACACAATATTTCCTCAACATACATTTGAATGTTTGATGAAATCTTTCTAAGGCTCCTTGTGATTCAGGGTGATAAGCAGTGGACAAATATTGCTTAATTGATAATTCATTCATGACTTGTTGAAAGAGACCGGATGTAAAGTTTGCACCTTGATCAGACTGTACTTTATTCGGGATCCCAAACTGAGTAAAAAATTTAGTCAGAGCTTTTACCACACTTTTTGCGGTCAGATTTCGAAGGGGAATAGCCTCTGGGTAACGGGTTGTAGCACACATGATCGTCAGTAAGTACTGATTACCGCATTTGGTTTTCGGTAATGGTCCGACACAGTCAATTAAGATATGGTTAAAAGGTTGAGCAACTACCGGAATGGGGTGAAGCGGGGCTGGGGGAATTACTTCGTTAGGTTTCCCTGCAACCTGGCAATAATGACAAGTCTTACAATATGATGACACATCCTTCTTCATTTTTGGCCAGTAAAAGTGTTTGAGAATTTTAAAGTAGGTTTTGGAAACTCCCAAGTGACCTCCATTAATATCATGAGCAAGACTTATAACATCCTGTCTATAAGGAAAAGGAACAACTACTTGATGAATCTCTGTAAAGGTGTCTGTTGCCGGAACATCAACAGGTCTATACTTCCGCATTAATACACCAGAATTTAAGTAGTACATACTATCGAGTGGCTGTGAATCGTCAACAAGACTAAAATATTTGCATAACTCTTTATCCTTACGTTGTGCATCGATGAGCATGTCACGAGTTATTGGTAAACTCCTAATACTAACCTCTTTCACAGAATCAAGTTTTTCCTCATTACCCTCTTCATCATTAAATAAGGAACTAATGGTCAAGTTATCAAAATTAGGTACATTAGTCGGAGAGGTTTCCTTATCAATGCGTTTAGACACGCTTCGCGTTACTGCGCACGAGGGAAAGAGATACGGATACTCATTCTCGAGGGATTCTGTGGGGTTCACTCCGGACGGTACAGGGCGTACAATCGGGTCAGGTACAACGCATTCGCCAGCTACGTCATTCCCTAGCAACAAAGTTGCTTCGCTCACAGGAAGAGGAAAGTCGTGAACTCCAACTGTGATGTATCTATCAACTAAGTCTGATCGCAAAAATATCCGCGCTAACGGGAGAGTGACGGTCCCTCCAAAACCCCGAATGACTACAAATTCCCCAGTGTATGAATTCTCCACGAAAGGCATAGAAGCCTTAACTAATACACTCTGGGAAGAAGCGGTATCCCTTAAAATTCGAACAGGGTAACTCTTATCTGAGGACATGTCACTTGCAACCAATCCCGTGAAAATAAACGGCTCAAAAATGTCAGACTTAACATCATGGGAAGTATTAACATCAGTCTCTTCCACTAAATCAACAGTAAGCGAAGTCGCTCCCTTAGCGACATTTTTAGCAGCTAATTTAGGGCACACAGCGATTACATGGCCACGTTGTTTGCAATAGAAACAAGTTACTAAAGAATCAATCTTGTCTACTCCTATTTTATTTTTCCCTTGAGCAGATTTTACAATTTTACTAGGCCTAGCACCCTGATCACCTGACTCTTCACTACCACCTGACTTCCTTCCAGCACAAAGATAACTCTGAGTTTTGCGTCTACTATGAGTTAATGAAAAATTGTCAGCAAGTATTGCTGCTTTACTTAAAGTGGTCACTTCTCGTTCATCTAAATACAATTTTATATCAACATTGACAGAACGCTTAAACTCCTCTAATAATATCAACTCTTTTAAATCAGTGAATGTCTGAACATTTCTAGATCTCAACCAGCGTTGTAACAGCCTCTCTTTCTCAGCAGCATATTCTACGTAAGTCTGTGACTCCAATTTTCTTAGGTTTCGAAACTTTTGTCTGTAAGCTTCTGGGACTAAATCATAAGCTTGAAGAATTATATCTTTCACAGCATCATAATCTTTACATATTTCTTTTGGTAAATTAGTGAACACTCTCTTAGCTTGTCCAGTAAAAGCTGTTTGGATCATCACAGTCCAGCTCTCTTCAGGCCAGTCTAAGCTTTCTGCAATCTTTTCAAATTGTAAGAAAAATTCCTCGGGGTCTTGT